CCTTCGGATAAGCCATACTTATTTTTGGCGTTCAGTTTCCCTTTAAAGGCACAGGTGGGCGAAATGTTGTTCATCCATTGCCATTGGACTGATCCGTGATGTACATGTATGCAATTACTGTACCGGAAGAATGGTCAAAGCGACGGTTATTGAGCATCTCAAATCAATCTCAATTAGTGCTCCAAGCCAAGGTGCACCAAGGTGATTCATTGATTGATGATACATGCGCATGGCTGTATTAAATCAGTTACTAGTACATGACTGCACAGTGCACACAACTAACTAATTACTTCACGACACAATCTCAACCAAATGACTATGACTGTAGCCTAGCCTAGGCAGCCAAGGTGGAGATATTTTGTTTACAATGTCAATGATGTGGTACTTCAGCTTCAACTTTAGGTTAGTTAGGAGTTAGGTGCCACTGGCCCTGTGTACCTATCTCGACCTACAGCCGTACAGGTACTTGACATTGTACATAGTCATTGTAGGTCATGCCAGTAGCCAGGATGGTATTTGTCGGATATTAGTCCCATAGCGTTGGGAGGCATCCTACAATGTACATGTACATGTACTGTGTATTATAGTACCTGATATACAATGTACAATGATCACACAGCAATGAAAAAAGCACTTGTTTTGGCACGGTTGCGAAAAGCATAAGTTGCGAATTGTTTTGGCATCTTTGGTCGATAGTACTTGTAGTAGACGACACAATTTTTATTATGCCGCGGCTAGGTAGTGAACAGGAGTCATAATCATCTGGACCGTTCGTTCGCTGTAGCCTGCGCTATTGAAATGTTGTGTGTGTGTGTGTGTGTGTGTGTGTGTGTGTGTGTGTGTGTGTGTGTGTGTGTGTGTGCGTGTGTGTGTGTGCGATGGGCAGGTCTGAGGTCTGAGGTGTGTGTGTGTGTGTGTGTGTGTGTGTGTGTGTGTGTATGTGTGTGTGTGTGTGTGTGTGTGAGTTGTCGAATGGTGCAATCCCAGCACAAGCTGCTATGGCTTCTGCTGTAGCATCGCTATCATCGCCTCCGGCGATGGGCGTCCAATGGTCCAATGGTGTGTGTGTGTGTGTGTGTGTGTGTGTGTGTGTGTGTGTGTGTGTGTGTGTGTGTGTGTGTGTGTGTGTGTGTGTGTGTGTGTGTGTGTGTGTGTGTGTTGTACCTCCATCACTTCTACCCTCTTTTCTCAAGTACATGCGGCATAATACAATTGTGTCGTCTACTACAAGTAATAGTACTATCGACTGGAGTGTAGCCCTTTTCGCAACCGTGCCAAAACAAGTGAAAGTTGCTGAAATCGCATCCGTATTTTCAGAAAAAGCTCAGAAGTTGCTAATATCGCAACTCAAAATGAGCGAGTTCTTGTGCATAATGATGCCAAAAGCAACCAAAAATGGAGCGGAAATAGACAACACTGTGTTGCAGCACAACTGCAGTTATGAGATAGGAAAAATGAACAGACTTGGAATGAGTTATTATCATTGTCCTTTTTGTTGAACCTTCGCACACATGACATCGCGGCATTCGGGGCTGCCACATACATGTACATGTACATGTACGTAACTTACTGACCAGTATTAGGTTATAATTATAATACCATGTACATGTGTAGTATCCCTGCTTTACAGTTTACACATGACAAGTAGTACATGTATTTTGCATGACTCTTATTGTTTAGAAGCACACAGTACTTCCACACATGTACGTGACTTGTACTGTACTTTTGTAGGCTGGAAAATGGGCAAATAATTCAGGCTAGATTTGCAGATTTTTAAGAACCCATGTACCGTTTTGTACATGTTTTCCACGTGGCGTGATCGCATCGTATGGTGATCTCCATGATCGTGGCGAAACGACCAACAGGCAACACCGTTCAACATGGTAGAACTATGCTAGGCTATGCCTTGAGCCCCTGGGTTCTTGAGCCCCTGGCCCGGGTTCTTCGGCGCCCGATCTTACTGTACTTCTCGAAGTACACTTGTCATGATGATTTGATGGAATGTTTTAACACTTCTTGTTGAAGCGGAGCATCACGGACACTTCAGTGGTCTCCTCCACAGGCTCCAGGGCACTTCTCTGCACACAGTTGCGGAAACGTTGCGAAGTAGTTTGTGAAAATGAAGAAAGTTGCGAAAGTTGCGATTTCTTCCAAAACAACAAAAAGTTGCGAAAAAAGAGGCGAGCATCTTTAGGAAAGCTGGCTATAGCGCTAGTACTGGAGTGTCGAATGCAATGTATTGGGGGGGGGGGGGACCGGGGGAGGGGGGGGGGGGTATGGACGACTCACGACCGGTGGGTCGACCTGGTCGACCGTTCCCACTCTTTTCACAGGTTTGTACACGGCTACACGTACTCAAGTACATGTAGTACAATACTCAACAGTACAAGGCTACATGTCATGTTTCGCCCACACTTGCTAGCTGGCCATGCATGGCAAGCAACTGTTACTGTTACTGTTACACTACAGTTACTAACTAACTAATTTATTTACTTACTGACATGTGTAGCGCCTAAGCCTATACTACAGCGCCTACGAAGCCGACCGCCCCATGCATGCGTGATGCATTGATCATGTTGATGGACCAGATAAACCTACATTTTAGGCCACTAGTCACTACTGGCACTAGTACACAGCTACAGAGTCAACCATGGTGAACAGACTCAGGTCCATGTCGACAGTAGATCTACAAGTGACCATGGTGACTCCACAAAAATTATTTTTACATCATCGCTACATCATGGATTCATGCTGCACATGTGCACATGTACATGCGGCTTAGAACTGATGTACTTCCGCGGCACGAGCTCGTGTTCCGTCGTGGTTTACCAGGTCTCAGAGGATAGCGCGATGACAGTTCAGCGAGAAACTGCTTGCACGAGTCATGTAGGTCATGTGCAGAGCGTAGGGACACGTCCTTTGTAAACTTTGCAGCTGCGTTTGCCAAGCTCAGGGATGTGACCAATGACAATGTGTTGGGCTTCATCATCTCGAGTCACAATAATTAATTCCCTACACGCTGGGTGAATCGAGATGTGGCCAACAAAGTTGCTGCTCCGCGCCAACCGGACTAGCAGCGAATAGCGAGGCCTAAACAGTAACTGCTAAAGTAAAGATAGCCCGCGATACACGTGCAGGTTCACAGCAGATTGAAACACATTGGTACTTGGTTTCCAGTTCGCTCCTGTCTCCATCTATCACCGTGCGAGCTGACTTACCATCATGCCAGGGAGAAGGAAGAGCAAAAACCCGAGTGCGAAAGGCTTGCTGACTTGTGAGATTGCGCTGTTGGACGATTCGAGCTTTCAGCAGGTCTACAAGGTAGGGAGAGTGAGACCCCGGGAATTTCGATTGCTACAGCGAGCTGGTGCTAGCACGGTTCGGCAACATTATTTTTGAAGTCATGTAAAGTTGAGCTTCATTGCACTGTATTGGCTGGCTGAGCGAGGCAAGGAACTGTACTCTTTACCAATGTGTAGCCAACCCTTGCCGTGACTAGAACTTGTAGAAGTTATTCTTTGGCAGTCCCCGTGGCGCCATAGATGGGAGAACAGCACGAGTCGTTTCCTCTGCGTGTGGCTATGTGTCGTGTAGAATTATTTGAGCTGCTGTGCATTAGCTGTGTTGGTGCTGCCGGTGATTTGTTTGTACCCCGCAGAGCAATACGCTTGGACAAGATGTGTTCGATGCAGTCTGCAGAACTCTCGAAGTCCTGGAAGTGGAGTATTTCGGCTTGCAATACAGCACAAGCACTGGCGTACCGGCGGTAAGTCTACAAGAAGGATACAAATTGCCGATTCGGAAGCCGCAAATGCTCGGACTTCAGAGTTTGCTAGCTCACACTAAGTCTTTTGATTGACTGGTACATGGTGATGTCCCGTTCGATCCCGTTTGGGGGAAATAGCCGATGGGCGTCTCAATGACAAAAAATGTTTTTGGTGAATGGCTTCTACGTGTTGCGTATTGTATGGAAGGAGAGCGACGGAGCAGTGACCAACCTCTATGGTCCGTGCGTGTTGTTCTTTGACCTTGGCGAGGTGTTGAGGACAGGGGGAGAAAGGCAACTGTGGGACTGTGGGGTACATGGTGCATGTGTGCGTACTTCCAGTAGACGTCTACGTGTGGCGACGTTCAGAAGTCTCGAGCTCGGGAGAGTGCTGGAGTGGAGGAGTCTTCTGTATCCCCATCTCTCCTTCTAGGATGTGTCGTCGATCGTATCTTTCTGGTCGCCGAGTGAATATGCTTAGTATTCTTGTTGTGAGCAGTTTTCGACTGTCCAAAACCCCTCCAAGGGGTCGGTAACAATGATCAGCGTGTGTCTGGTCAGCTGACTTCACCTTCATTCTGCTGGCGCGTGGCGTTGTTCGTGGTGTTCGGACGACTTGTGGCCTCACAGCTGATTGGAATGCTGGCGATAATTTTGAGAGCCCTTCTGGCTGTCCTCGTTCGCGTGCTTGTGCAGCTAAAATGTGTTAGTATTTTCTTCTAAATGTTGTAGATCTACAGTAGACGATCGTGTAGCGGTGTTATCATGGTTCTTACTTGTCGTGTTTCCTGACTTGCTCGCTACATTGTTGTATTGTTACTGTGACTGGATTCCATGCTACCCAATGCATGCCGGTCCAGCTCGGAAGCTCTCTCCGGATCTCCATCACCCTTACTTACTGGCCTTGAATTGCGAATGAAAAGAAAATTACAGTAGTTGTGCCTGCAGGCCAAACGTCAATCAATTAGATTCTAATATTCCTTTGTATGACACTCTTGGGTGCACTCATTGCCAGATGATAAAATGGAATGCTTTTGCTGGTGAATGTGTGCATGGGATGGAACTGACTCTCAGGTGGTCGTCTGTGCCATTGCCATTGGACTAAGTGTGAGGTGTTTGCAGCTCCTGGGTGTTGTGTTGGGGGTGTTGTGTTGGGGCGGTCCAGTTAGTCTCAGTCAAAGTTTCATTGCTGTAACTGGTTGTCCTGAGTTGGTCTGAGTTGTCCTGAGTTGATCTGAGTTGTCCTGAGTTCCGGTGATCATTATTTTATTGCAATTAGCTTGTCATAGTGTCGCTGGACATTCACTTCTCAAGTGTATTTACCCGCAGAACAGTTCACAGAGCACCATCATCCTCTCACAGCAGCACTGGCACTTGTGCCTGCCATTCAGGCTGGTCATGGACAGCGTGCATGGACAGCGTGCTGTTGGGCTTGGCGCCTTTCTGGCCAGCCTCTCACCACCCAGGCTGGCAGAAGTGTTTGCTAGTGGCACAACAAGCTGCCAGCACAGCTACTAAACTGCGAAAATATACAGAAGTACCCTGAGATTTTCAAGGGGATTGTTTGCTTGATTGGGTTGAGTGGTGAGTCTGTGGCCAATGAAAGCTTTCTTAGGGGTGATGGAAGATCATTGAAATGTGAGATTTGCTCTTTCCCCTTTGAAGTCTGGAGAGCACCTAACATAATGTACATCAATATCGAAACTAGTTTGAATAGCCAGGGACATGTGTATTGTGAGCAGGAGGATGACATTGGTGTGAATGGTGATGTGCATGCACGTAAAGTCATTGCACTGGGAGGTCTTGTGGGTGGTGTGGTAGGTGCAGCATTGCCATTGGGCCCTGGTCTCCAGCAGCCCTGTCCGGATCAGTGGAATCCGAATGGGGAGGGAAGCATGAGCCATGAGCACTATCTGGGATGTGATGTGCATGAATGCTGGCTTGTCTGCTGCTCTGTTGACACAATGATAGGCATGTCAACACAGCAACTGTCCTAACAGCCTGCAGCTACCGTCGTGCACTGTACACGACATCTCTCCTTGGGGATCCAAATCAATGGCAACATTCGTTCATCTTATTTGCGAATGGATTCAAGACGAAAAAAGTGAATTTCACCATCAGCTTATGTGGAAAAGTTGTACTATGCGTGATTAAATGCCCACTGGGTGAAGTTTCTGCTAAAGCAGCAGTTTGTATCAAGTGATGTAGCACAGTGTATTACAATTGTGGATGATGGTGAACACCTGGTAGTGTATCCGTCCTGACTGTGGGAGCTGACAGTCTGCGTGTTGTCTAGTTGTCAAGGTGGCCTCTCCAAACACTAGTGAAGTGTGCATTGGCCATCGGCTGCGATAAAGATCCTGTCTTTCCCAGTGATTAGTACCTGTCTGCGTAGCTGTCAAGATGTGCAAGATGCTGGCACGTTGGACACCGCACGACTGCCCACGGTGGGAAGTACAATGCTTGCAGCGCCGTGGGCCACGTTATACGCTTTGCAGCCTCTGGTTCTGTGTGAGCAAGCACATTATCTCTGTGTCGCCTCCCGTCACCAGTCACTGTTTTGACAAGCGCGTAGCACAGCGCCCTGCACTTTCTGACCGTCTGGCCAGGCTGCTTGCCGTCATTGATTCTTCCATGACAACACCACACTGCCGCACAGTATAAACCTTTATGTAGGCCTCAACACATCCAACAATAACTGAATGTGTATGCAGGGTAAAAAAACGTATGTTTCTTTTGTAATCTGATGTCGGTTCTTGTAATATTTGCAAGCAGTGATGGGAAACAATGATATTGTGTTATCCGGAGTGTAATAGTGCCCCTATGGATGCACGGCGCCAAGCTAGCATTACTAGGCCCTGGGTGTGCACTACACATCATGCTTGTAATGTGTGGTGTCATACATGTGCTGTTTTGAATGCTCGCATTAAAGTTTAAAATAAAGTCGAGTTGAATATAGGAATGCACATCTTACTGCTGCAAATATGGTAGTTGACACCTTGACTGACCGCTAATCGAGATCAGGAAACGTATTCATTCATTCTTGAAAGTGTTGGTGTGTGGTGTTTTCTTGAAGGCTGACACATGCTATTGCTCTTGTAAAGGTCTATACCCAGTTGTGATCGGTACTCTGACAGTTTGTGTGTTGTGTGTGTTTGTGTGTGTGTGTGTGTGTGTGTGTGTGCGCGCGCGTGCGTGTGTGTGTGTTTGTGTGCGTGTTTGTGTTTGTGTGACAGTGGCTGGACTTGACCAAACCAGTGCGCAAGCAGGCACCAGGTATGGTATGGTACACCAATTTGATCATTGCTATGTATGGATGCCGCACATAGCCGTTGATCAGTATAACAATAATTATGATACCGATGTATTCGGCAGTATTCCCTGTCATGCAGCTTGTACATTTGAGACTGCATGTGTGTGTGTGTGGGGCGGGGATTGTCAGGATGATTAAAGAAGCAACGCAACCGTGCATATCTGCACTTTGGAATCTGGTGGGGCTATTCCACATTTATGAATAATTTTCGTGGAACCAACCACTGAATGCTTCGTAGCTTCATACAGATTTGCTGACAGATGTGCTGAGTACTTGGGCCAATCTGATCTTCAACTTTGAGTTGAGCTGGAGGATACCCGAAGGGCCATGTTGGTAATGCCCCCACTTGGCCATGCGTATTGTTCACATTACACGTATGCACAATCTGATTGATTAATTCCACTTCTTGCAACCTTGCCGTTCTTGTACAGTTCCCAGGAGTGGAACGCTTCAGCTGGAGTTCCGCGTGAAGTTTTTCGTGCGGAATCCCAATCAGTTGCAGGATGAGTACACAAGGTGAGGGGCCCCACACTGATCCGCATCACTTTCCATCCTTTATGGCAATTGACTTTCATGGGCCTAGGCTAGAACATTCTATTGGTTCTTCATGTTTGAATCAAAGCCATGTGTTTGCCTTGTTCATGTGTAGGATTTTATAGGATTTCCGGATTGGACTTTGTAGGTCTTCTGGAACACCCTGTGTGATCTAGTTTTAACAAAAATTGTTTCAAAATAGCAAAAGTGAACAGCACCCCAATACGCCAAACTTATGGTTCGGATGTGTTCACGGACGTTACATGTTCGTGCTGCTGGCACTATTGCCCGCCCCCCCCCCCCCCCCCACACACCTCCCACTCCCCACTTTTTTCCGGGTGCTGTGAGAACAGTGTGTTGAATCATGCTATTTTCTCCATTGCCTTGGTGTGTGTGTGTGTGTGTGTGTGTGTGTGTGTGTGTGTTCATAGGTATCTGTTCGCTCTTCAGCTTAGACGTGACATTTACACGAAGCGGTAAGGGATACCACACACGCCCGTGTTACTCACTTGCGGCACCACTGCCCAGGATGTGTGGACATGCTCTTCTTGTGCATATACTCGTACTTGAACTTGCAGGAATATCTTATTGCATGAAACGTTGTACTCTTATGAAGGGTTATGATTTTTTTTACATATCCACAGGATTTTCAAACTAATTCACTCGTGCTACCAGCAACATTGAGGATACCATTGGTTGATGCCGCCGTTGATAAAGATGTAGTCTGCTTTATTGAGTGGGAACTATGCCTTATTGCATAGCAGGTATCATCAACGTGACACGACGGCTAAGGACATGTGTGTGTGTTGTGATCTTTCTCTTTTTCCTTCAGGTTGCCATGTTCTCACGAGCCTGCTGCAAAGCTGCTGGCTGTCCTGGTGCAAGGTAAACGGTTAATCCAGTGAAGGAATCCTGTTTCTGTACACTTCACTACTACAGAGTGGAGAGGCAGTTTCACTGCATGATGCCGCTTCCGTCGCCTAATCACATACACGCTTAGTGCACGGGCACCCACACATTACGCCGTTTCTGGGAGATAGCTCATTTGACCATCATTGTGCCTATTTGAAATCTGTTTTCCGTACCGGACCTTCAGACAGTGATTGACTCAAAGGTATATTGTATGAAAGTGCATGATCCAGGGCACCACCAAGTAAGCATGCCTTCCAGCATGTTGGGTCTTTTCTAACTGGCTGAGATTGGTACCAGTTTGCGTAAGCTGTCTACAAGTGTGTCGGAAGTGATGAATTTAACCTGCGTGACGTATGGTATTTACATCACGGTATGTGCATGCAGGTGACTTGGGTGACTTTGACCTGGCAGAGCATCGTGATAACTACACTACTGGCATTGACCTGCTTCCAGACCAGGTAATGTGCAACTGACTCAGTGGTATAACCCTGCGGATCCAGAGATTTCTACAGGAGGTTCCAGTTTAGCCAAGAATAGCTGATGGCTTCCAGTAGTACAATCGAGAAATTTTGGACCCCCGCCCCTTCACTGGATGATCATGCTTTATACTTCAGTTGTGTGCCGCTCGGAGTTACACATGTACTGTTGAAGCCTGACTCGACTTTGTTCATACTGCACACCCGTAGGTGCCTTCCAGCAGTGAATTTATTGTGACGCTGTAGCCGTTTGTGTGCACTAAAACCGTGTTGAAAGGAGACGGTGATCTCTTTGTTATACTATGCTACGCATGTTGCACTGATATACATTGTGCGGTGGGAGAAGTACAAGTATTCAAACATGTACACATCGTCGAGGTGAGTGAAGTTTGGGATGGTATGAGCTGCAGATGTATGGACCTGTAGTCCTTACCCGGCTGGCTGTGTGTGGATGTGATGATCGCTGTGTTCTATTCAGAGTGTGGAGGTGGTTAGGGCGGCAGAGGCGCACCACCAGTCGTCTTGGTGTCGGTGAGTACTGCTGTGGTGTACATGTACTTGTACCGGACATTCTTCACTGCAGCCACATTATATTCTCTCTGGCTGCTGGCCTGTGTAGAATGCATACATGTATAGACACATGATGCCGGAGTGTATAGCGTGGCACCCTCACAACAATTATCAGAGTGCCATCCACTTCATGTGAATCACAATGGCAACTTGGCACTGTGCAGATTGTGTGCAGATTGTGTGCAGATTGTGTCCAAGCTTGTATCTATGATGTTGTATGGCTGTTGACTAGTACAAGAAATAATATCCAAGTCATTTGAGTTTTTTTGTGCACTTATGGCGTGCCAATGCACTCTATGGTGGTGATACTGGCATACTGTGGTGCAGCAGTTAATGGCATGTTTCTCTCTCCAGCCGCTTTCATTGATCCTGCTCTCCGTTTTCTTTGTTTCTCCATGCTGCCCCCAAGGAACCTCACTCCTGCCGACTGTGACTTCATCTTTGTTGACATGGCACGTCGCTTGCCTCTCTATGGCCTGGAGAGGTACCCATTGGTATGCATTAGGACTTGGTCCTTATATGCACTGTTATATACATGGTGTATTGTGGTTACATTATTATGACATCATCATACCTAGTACCCCAGGCCCCCAGCTTAACCCTATGCCAGTACTTGCGTCACTCGCATAGTCTGACTTGGGCAGTGTGTACAGCATGGGCAGCAGCAGGACGTGTATGCCCTCCCTTCTTTGCTTTCATCTTATCTCTATGTGTTTGGCCACAGCTACTGGTTTTAGTTGATCCCACATGATGTTAGGGTGCCTCTAGAAGTATTTCTGGTTTGCTTTTGGCTTTGTGAGTCTCAAGAGAAAGGATATACTTAAACTGCTTGTGTTTTGTTCATGCAGTGTTGCTGTCTTGCTATGCTGACACTTGTTTCGTTCCCGGTGTGTATCTGTCCAACAGGATCCTGCGGGCACCCGAGGGCAACAGCACTTCTTAGCTTGCTCTTACGAAGGCATGTCGGTTCTTGTGTTTGACGAGCGGCCAAACTTGTTCTCCTGGCCTTGCATCAGCCGTCTGTCCTACAGGGGAAAGCGTCTCATTATGCACCTGCATAAAATGCCAAATGTAAGTTGCGTGATTGGTCACCACACCACTAGTCCGTTCATCAAGAGTTTCTGTCGTGTTGATTTTGCCGACGGATTTCAAGCAGCTGCTGTATTCAGAGTGGTTGCTTGCTGCCGCCAACGATTTCCCCATGTGGCTTGTTTGCGTACTCGGCATTGTTTGGTGGTGTAGCGTTGTTCATTCTTATGGGACTCTGTCAGGGGAACCGCCTGACTGCAATGGCTTACTCTAATCATTCTGCCGATTTTGCAAGACCTCTACATTTGTTTGTAGCTTGACACGGGTACCTCTTGGTAAGGTGCTTATTGGCTGCTGGTTGGACATTTTCCGGCTTTGTGATTGTATTGCAGGTTCCTGTGGGATTCCTGTTCGAGTCGAAGAAGCTCTGCAAACGGTTTTGGCGGTTTGCAGTCGAGCACCACACATTCTTCAGGTATGAATGAGTGATGATGTCATGTGTGATGATGTCATGAGTGATGATGTCATAACAGTGGTAGTCCGCAGCATACAGTGTGGCTTACTGGCGCAAGCACGGTACTGGCATATGTACACATTGCGTTTGACTGATATCCTAGTTCTGGGCAGCATCCGCTAGTTATCAGGCACTGAACGCACTCTGCTTGCCATGTCTATGTTTCATGGTTAAGAATTAAGAAGGACAGTGAGATTTGTCTGCAACCATGTACTCCGGTGGCTTGCTTCACTGAACTGATCTGTTCGCCAGGCTGGTGGGAATGCTTACAATGCTTACAATGTTGAGCTGGTGCATATGATGTGGGTACTGCGGGCAGGGCATACGGGCTGCTCAGGGCCAGGCTGTTGAGAATTTGTCTAACTGTATCACTTCCGTGCGGCCTGTTGGCCTCTGCAGGAGAGTGGCTCCACTGGGGAAAGGCGCTCACAAGAAACGGGATTTCTTCCGCACTGGCTCCAAGTATCGATTCTCGTAAGTGATGTGTTCACAGCTGTGTTGTCGAAGTTTGTCAGGAAAGTTTGACATAATATATCTCTACTGTATTCGTGCTCCTCTAGTCTGATGGTGGTGTGTAGAATATTCCTCTAGTCTGATGGTGGTGTGTAGAATATTTTTACTTAGTGTGACTTGCTCTGTTATTTCCTGCTCCAGGGATTTTCCCTGAATCAGCTGCAATTTTCAAGCATTTTGTGGTACCAGTAGGTATGCTATGCTCATCAATTTGCTCTCCAATAGTTTGCAACTGCAGGGTCAACTTAGAATTCTTGGTGATGCTTTCGATGGACTAACCCCCATGCCAATTCCTTTCTCTTAACTGTTATCTGCAGTGGTAGAACACAGTCTCAGATCATCAGGGAAATTCGGCAGAGGCACGATGTCGTTCTGCGTTCACAGCGATCAACTTCTCCTAGCTTCAAGCGGTTAGTGAGATTGTTTGCAGCCCTGTCGCTTAAAAATGAAAATGATTCGACGTTGTAACCCATGAAGTGAATCTTTATTTCATGTGCAAGTTTTGCTGATAGTTATGTCATTTATGTGTTCCCTCATCACCCTTTGCCTTGGCACTTCTGTTGACCGTCTAGTCTGCCATCATTTTGAGTTTGGAACTATACAACTCTCTGGCTGCTTTGTTGTCTCACTGGCTTCAGGTACTCCATGACCCGCTTATCATCAGCAAAGAGAAGCCTTGCTCTGGACAGGCATGGCCCGAAAACACCAGCAAGCCCGTCCAGCAAGTCAAGTGAGTCCAGCTCACTGTATTAGAGAGGTTAAGATGCACGTTATTTCTGACGCGACGCGAAAGCGCAGCTCGTGTTATTTGGCTCGCGCGTCGAAAAACAACGCGAGTGACCAGCTCACTTTGAAATTTGGAGTTTTACGCCCAATTTTACGTGAAATTGCGCGTCACGTTGGAAATAACATGCACCTTAACCTCTCTATTCTTTGCCCGAGCGATCCTGCATAGTAGTGATGCTATTTTGATAGTTTCATTGGACATACAATATGTATGCATTGAAGAGAGACACATGTACTGGAAAGAAAAACTGCCCCAATGCCGCTACATACAATAGCATTGAAGTTTCGCTCATTTTGTAATGCGTTTCATACCGGAATCCGACATTGTGTCTATGTGTTCTATGGTCTCTCTGTTCACAGCCGCTAGCCAGTTTGAATTTGTCCCAGCCGTGACCATCTCCCTACCGAGTCCCAGTGAACATAGCCAGAGTAAAGTAGAGTCCCCGGTATCGTCACCCAGCAGAACAGCTGTAGAGAATGCTCCCAGTGACCAGCCGCCGCCGCAGAGCATCACCAAGACGGAAGTGTCCACCACAAGACAGGAACCGACCTCCGAAGAGCGGCAGCCGGTCGAAGTGGCACCGAATGGCCACGTTCTGGTGCATCAAATCAGAGGCTCTTCATCGACTTCCCCAGTACCACCGGTGGACTCTGACCTCACGCCGATGAACATGTCGCCACGCGACACTGCAGCTAGTACAGGCGCCTTGGAACGGACATTCTCCAATCAGCTACGGGAAGGGCAGATCTCGGACCTGAGCGAGCTGGTGAGACGGTTTTCAACGCCGGACTTCTCGTCAGCGTTGCCCTCAACCAAATCAGCCAGCCCCAATGACGAGGAGGAGATAGGCCTTGAAGTGAGCAGGGAGACTGGAGACAGGGATGACAAGTCGGAGAGTGAGCTGGAACAAGATGATGATCGCACGCCGGCGGTCAGTGCCGATGAGTCTTGCATCAGTCCGCCGGAGAGCACCCTGGAGCGCCGTCGCACTGACAACCGCAATGAGACACGTCGAGTACAGCAGCGTGCATCACCATCCGTCAGGCCTACCTCTCGGACTAGCGAGATTAGCCTGTCGGACTCGTCTGATGACAATCTCTCAATGAGTGAGGAGCGAACTATCCGTGCTTTGAAGCGACGGTTAACTAGACACAGCAAGGTAAGGCTATCATTTATCACTTTCAAGTTTTGAGCCTCGAGTCCATGCAGTAATATTCTCCAAAGAGAGTTGATGAGCTCCCTCTCCCCTCTTAAACGTACAAGTACATCTCGCATGCCTAAAAATGCGATGACTATAGCCACAGATCACTGCTAGGCGCTGCATCTGCCACCCTGGTGCAATCAGGCATGGTGATGGCCTGGCACAAGCAAAACTTCTCTAGGCCGGTTGTGTTTCTCAACACAATTGTATAGGTGGTGGTAACGCAAATGTGCGGACGTTACCTACTTATCAGCAGATTGGCAACTTGCCATCATTGCTGGTCCAGTTGGAAGTCGTAAATTGTTATCTGATGGGAAACCGCCATAACGTCCTTTACAATCTTTGTCAATAGTAGAGGTCTGTACTAAATAGCCTGGCTACATTAGAACAGAGAGTGTCTGTGTTGTCCCGTACAGAAAAAGCCGGCGTCAAAGTCGTTCTACATCTCTCAGGAACTGCGCGACACAGAGCGGTCTTACGTTGCCGATCTGGACATGCTGAATGTGGTGAGTTTGCAAGTTTGGCAAGCTGTATTTACGTCTTGTGATCGTACTTGGGCAAGATGGTACATGCCGGGTGCTGTTGGATTTGTATTTATCTCCAGGCCGGCTCCACGGGTCGTACGTTGATTACATAACACACTGATCAGCCCACACTGGTGCAGTTTAGACTATGCGGGGATTGCATGGCTAGGTGGAGAGCACCCACTGTGCTTGCTCATGCTTTCATGTTCCTGGTCTTGGCGTTTTACTAGAAATTCCGCAATGCTATTCAGACGGCCGGCGCTCTGTCTGAGGAGAAGACGAACGAGCTGTTTGAGCAGCTGGATGATCTCTATGCCTTTCACATTGAGCTGTTGGTGGAGCTGGAAAACCGCATGGCCTTTTGGTGAGTAGACTAGAGCCGTGTCGTTATGAGATGTATTGAGGTGCTGGCAGATGTTCAGCATTTGATAATGTTGGTCTGTAAGCAGTATTGCAGTATATGAGTTAGTCTCTATTACCAAGGGTTGTTACTGAAGAGTGCAGTACGGTAGCACTCATGCTGCTTTCCTGGTGCTGGCGACTGGTCTGCAAATGGTGGCTCACTCTGGATGTGTGTGTTCACATGGCAGGGTTCTAGTCAGGCGCAGTGCCCCCTACTCATTTTCCGATTTTCGTGTTTTTCATGCAATTCAACGAAAATGCCGCCGAAAGTCACTATTAGATGGTTCATAAAGGCACATTTGTCTGGGGCGAAGTCGGGGATTCGCCCCATACGTTGCATTTAGCGTGGCAAGACAATATTGGAAAGTGGAAAAATGGGATACCGGGTAACTGTTTCGCATGCCCCCCTACTATTTTACCTGGCTAGAACCCTGCATGGGCATGTATATTATATTATGTGTGTTTGTGTGTGTGTGTGTGTGTGTGCGTGTGTGTGTGTGTGTGTGTGTGTGTGTGTGTGTGTGTGTGTGTGTGTGTGTGTGTGTGTGTGTGTGTGTGTGTGTGTGTGTGTGTGTGTGTGTGTGTGTGTGTGTGTGTGTGTGTGTGTGTGTGTGTGTGTGTGTGTGTGTGTGTGTGTGTGTGTGTGTGTGCATGCCTGTGTATTACATTTACATTACATGATACATGGTATGCTCCAGGGAAGGAAGATCGCCCGATCATGATCCGACACACTACGGATACATCGGTGATATCATGGCAAAGAGGATGTCTGGCATGCGTGTAAGACATAACACACACACACACACGAATGCATGCGTGTAAGGCATAACACACGCATCAATACAGCACAATACAGCACACATCCTCCTCCTGATATTTGTGGCAGCTGGGGAATGAATCACCTGCTGTTCACAAGAATTTGAAGAAATGATCTGAGTCTAGTCATTGCCACATAAAGCCATACTCGCATTGTTGAATGGACATACTGCACCTTGTGTAAGCTACCACAATACGTCCAGAAAATTTGCCTTGGGGGAAAAAGGTTTGCGACCACTTCTCATCTCACTAAATTCCACAATTTAGTTATTCCTCTTTTGTCATCCTGCTGAGCAATAGGTGAACACCGTGTCTCTTTCACTCTATTCCAGATCTACACACCCTACATCATGGACCAGAGCCGTCTTCTTGGACTTGTTCAGCAGTGGGCGGATGAGAACGCCAAGTTCCGAGATCTCTATAACAGCTTTGAGGTACGTATTTCCCCGAGCTCCTTGAACAATTTCATGTTCGATGGGCGGCATACCAGCTAAGTCAGTGAACAATACCTGACACTACATTTCTGCAAGGAAACAAAAACAGAATCTCCATTATTTATATAAGACTGAAAAGCCGAGGTCTTGACGTGTGCGTTTGATGATGAACGCCTCTTATCAGACGCCATGCGTTGTTGTACTTCTCCACCACGTTCAGTGCTCAGTCTAAGCCCAGGTGTCACGATTGCCAAGCAACAGCGAGTATTTCTGGATACCGCAGGGAGAGAGGGAATTTGAAACGCTTGAACGATTTGATCATCAAGTAACTGTTGAATTGACTGTAGGGGGCCTACCATAACGAACACGTGAATCAAACAGAATCAGGGAGATGCGAGCTTTCATGCACACGTGCTAGCATGAACAAGAGTACTGCCTAGCGAGGAGAGTGCTGAATGTATGTGTGAGGAGTGCACATCTACTCATGTAACAAGTGCATGGTATTTCTTAGACTGTTCCTGTCTATGTTCCTTATGACTTACAGGCAGAGCAGTGTCACTTGCCACTACTGGAGTTCTTCAACCGACCAATGCAGCGCATGGTTCACTACAAGCTACTGCTTGGTCGTAAGTCGACACGATAGGAATAGCGTTTATTATGGCAGCCATGATGAAGCAGAGTACTTTTTTTGGCGTGGTTCGAGTGCACGTGTCACTGTGACAATCTCCTGCGGAGGATTCCATCTGTCTCACGTTTCTTTGCAGGGTGACCATTGAGCTTCCGTGCAGGGACAACAGAAAAGAGTTGTGCATGTTCAGCTGTGTACTGCTGGTCTGCACGTGCATGACCTTGAAGAACTGGTTTGGAGTTTGGAGTGTCTGATTTCCTATCTTCTCCGTGTTGCTCCAGGCCTGATCAAGACCTATGATCCATCCCATCAGGATATAGAGAATCTAAAATGTAAGTAAGCCCGGGCTGGATAGTGTGTATGTAGATGTGTGACTAGCGAATATGTAGCAGACGGAGGGGGGATGGCAAATCCACAAAGTCCTAGCCTACTACTTGGTCCGCCAAGTTAAAATTGGCGCTCATCTTCTCACTTGGTTTTTCGGTGTTCTGCCTATGTGACACGGCATGGAACCACCGATTCACCATCCGAGCATAACCATTGACCATTACATCCGACGACATGACAGCACACACCATCACAGAAGTTGCGATCGGTTCGTTTGAGTCTTTTTGACGGAGCTGCCGCCGACGAACACTTCCGTCCGCGCAAGAAAACACTGCAACCTCCGCTCGAGTCCATAAAATAGGTCAGGGTGTTCGCATTTCAGAGCAATGGAGAATACAGTTTCTGTCTACTTCCAGCTGTCTGATGGCAAGGATTGTGTACCCCGGGGAGGTATAGAAAAGCTGAAAAAGCGCTTCGCAAGCTTGAATTTCAGTGCTTGCACAGTACAGCGCCTAGTGAAGGGCTATCACCAGCAAATCGCTGATGAAGAAACTGCAGCTCATGTCATCTCCAGAAAGTGAGACCAATCCGGCGGACACACTTTGAAGCTCACAGAGGACAGGGCAAAGGAGCTAATCAAAATAGACACGAAGTCCTGAGTGAGGGAAACACTCGTGCAAAGGACTTTCAAGAAACTAGCCGAAAAGCCTGGTGCACGGCGTTAGGACTTAGGTGCAGTACGCACAGGTGCTACATCAAGCGGAAGCTATCACTGCGCTGCATGTAGATCTACAAGCACCACCAGCGGCTCGCGTGCGTGCGGATCAGCAAGTACGACAAGCGCAAGAGGCGATTTGAAAAAAAGGACACTGATATGGCGTTGCCTTTTTGTCTAAAACAAAGTCGCATTATTGCGACGAACGGGGATAACACTTACAGCCAACATGCGGGCAGTCTCACTCAGCTTCTCATCGGCAAGGTGACAGGCATGCACTGCCTTTGAGCGTGATTCGAGACGAGGAGAAGTGGAACAAGCTAAGAAACGTGCAGCAGCTGTCCGGATCGAACGTTTTGAGCTCTTCCTCCAGCGACGATAGTGGCGAGGAGGATGTGTAACTTGCTTGAATTTTCGACTGAGTTGCTTACTGACATGTAAATAATCATGTACATAGTGCTTTGTGATCGTGGCTTGCTTCTAATATTCGTATTTCCTTCCTGAGACAAGTGTGAAGATAAGCGCCAATTGTAGCTGGGCGGACCAAGTACCTTTCAATATTTCCCAAGAGGCTTGTCTTGGTCTTTCTGGTGTGTTGAGGGCCATACGCATATGACAGTGTTTGTGCAGGAGCTACCATGATGTTCGTGTATGCCTGTTATACCTAGATTGCTGGTTTTGATACGCTGCTGACGACGTCGACGTTATTAATATGCTCAGCTTCTTTGAAAGGGATGTTCAAAAGGATGTTTGTTTTACCGTTGTTTGTGCACAGCTGCTCACCAAGCTGTCAGCGATGCTGCAGACTATACCAATCGGCAGTGCAGGATTGCTGTGAGCCATGCATGTGTTTACTGGTGTATGGAATGAATACAAGAGATGCATGTAGCTTCGGAGTAACTTAGAGACGTTTTAGATTTATACCTTGCTAGACCTTATGTGTGGAATGCAAAAGATGTAATGAGTGCGAGTTAAAGTAATGTTCATGATGGCCTTTTCCCTTTTGGCTATACTCTTGGCCTCTATCCCATTTTGACCAGAGCAGTACTGATGGTATTCTGTTTGAGGTGAGAACCTGCCATTTTCCCGTATGATGAATACAGAGTCCGGCACTTTGCCGGGGCGGAATTCTGTGTGCTGTGGCTGGCATGTTAGTGTATCTTCCTATTGAAAATTTGAAATAGCAACTGTGATTATGGTTCTTCGTGTGTGTGTACAGGAGAATGAGAAGAAACTCGAGGAGCTGCAACGCGAACTGTCCGGCATAGAGAACTTGGTGAAGAAGGGAAGGGTAAGCTGGAGAAAATACTTGGCAGTTGACATAGCTCAGGTGCATATTCGTTGCCATGGTCAACAATAATTTGAGTACTAGTACTCCAGCAGGATGATCACATTTTCCCAGTCTTGTAACTACATGTATCACTATCGATCACATTTGCAACCGCCCGGCCACCGAACATAAGATGTCAATGTAATGCTGGGGAGACTCCTACACTAATTTCATTACTCAGAGATTCTGTTATTCTTGCTTTGGAAATATTCCTTGCAGTATCTAGTGCGGGAAGGTCGCCTGCTGAAGGTGGGCAAGAACGGACCGAGACAACGGCACTTCCTGCTAGTAAGTTGATAGTCTGCAAATGTACCAGTGTGCATCAAGATACATATTAATCACAAGAGAGAGAGAGAGAGAGAGAGAGAGAGAGAGAGAGAGAGAGAGAGAGAGAGAGAGAGAGAGAGAGAGAGAGAGAGAGAGAGAGAGAGAGAGGGAGGGAGAGGGAGGGAGAGGGAGAGGGAGAGGGAGAGGGAGAGGGAGAGGGAGAGGGAGAGGGAGAGACAGAGACAGAGACAGAGACAGAGACAGAGACAGAGACAGAGACAGAGACAGGAGAGAGACAGGACAGAGACAGGACAGAGACAGAGACAGGAGAGAGAGAGAGAGAGAGAGAGAGGAGAGAGAGAGAGAGAGAGAGAGAGAGAGAGAGAGAGAGAGAGAGAGAGAGAGCTGTGTTTGCAACTGCGTGAAACTCGGAGTTGCAACACAGCTTCCCCTGTCTCTCTTGTGTGGAAGGATCTGCCCTATGGGAGTTGAGAACTCTTCGATCAGTGGAGCACGCTACTTGATTATGTGTTAATCAGCATTGTTCTGTTTCACAAGTGTAGATATCAACACGGAGGAAGGGCAGTATGAGGAATGCCAGAGCCTGTCCAGTTCACACGTTCTAACCAATACCTGTTCTTAATAAAGCACAGAACAAGGTCTGGAATGCTTGGATTTTGAGAGTAACTAGGGATGCAAAGCGTACCAAAAACCTAGCTATTCCCTGGCAATGCTCTCGCCTGTTAACGGTGGAAGAAGTGCAGACTGCAATTTCACAAACACAATCTGGCATCTTGCGGGGATGACAAAGCCGGCATCTACTGGAGAATACGGCCAGGGAGAGTTCCATGTAGTTTTCTATCCAGCGAAAAGGAATTGATCTCTGAACCTCACAAGCTTAGGATGCTGATGTGGTTGTGAATGGCGAGAAAAGGCAAGGTTATGGCTTCCTGTTAAAACTTTTCTGTTTGTGTGTGCGGCATTAATGTGTTCTTCTCCAGTTCAATGACTTACTGTTGTACGTTACACCGCGAGCTATCGGCCTTCCCCAGGTCAAGTCAACCATCTCCTTGAAGGACTCCAGAGTGAGTGCATGTAAATGTGCACAAGACATGTGTGGCGACGGAGGGCATAGTCTGCCTTGTGCGAATTCTTGCTACTGGGCTTACCAAGCCCTGGAGTGAGGGATTGTACCGGGGTATCAGTGTCTTTGACAGTATTATACACCAACTAGGCAAACAGTGTACCTTTCGGCATCAATGTCACAACCGGTGCAAAGAGCATGAATGTTTCGTCTTATTTGAGAGCCCCGCCTGGGCCAGAATATTTGTGTGGACGAGCGTCAATACCCATGTGCCAACTCTAACGGATTGATGGTGCTACTGTTGCTGCTGCTGTTGCTGCTGCTGTTGCTGCTGCTGTTGCTGCTGCTTCTACTGCTGTTGTTGCTGCTGCCATCATTATCGTTGTCATCACCGTTGTTTTGCAATGTGTTTTGCAGGTGGAGGTATGTCAGGACGGCAATCCGTATGGCGAGAATGCCTTTGCGTTCTTCACGCGCAATAAGTCCTTCTTCCTCATCGCACGCTCAGTGAGAGAGCGGGACGTGTGGGTGGAGGTACGTGTATCTGCATATGTGGCGACACGTGGCGTGCAGTGACCGCGAGCCTTGCTGGTACAGCATGTTTGATTGTGTGTAACTGATTGCGTTGGGCATTACCAGGCGCACGCGGAGCACATGAATTGTTTGGGACCATGCAGAATCTCTCACAGGAATGGTTGTTCGGTATGAACCTTTGTTGTTTCCCTCGTGTACCCTACAGGACATCAACTCATCCATTGAAGACACGAATGGCGCGCCGGACTCGTCACGGACACCCTCTGTATCCGACTTAGGACAGATCAATGTGGTAAGGTGGCTTGTCCATGTCAGCAGTGAGCATAGTCCGTGCAGCTGCCTTTAACTCCAACAATCCTAACATGTCGACATACCAGACATGCATTATTCTCAAGACGATGTCTTCAGTTATGAGTTTGCGTATTGCATGTGCGAGTATATCTTACTGCCGATCTTGTGTTTCACCGTCAGAGGCGATGTCCTTGTGCTTCATTTGGCTCCTTTCCTTATTTTCCCTGTGGCTGTAATTTGATATTGTTGTGTGCAGTCAAGTAACGTGTCTAGCCTGCAGTCGACCGAGAACATCGTTCTGTCTGCACCACTGCTGCTACCGTTTGAAATGTACGATGAGTGCAAGCGCTGTAGAGCGGAGTTCACGTTGACTAAGCGTAGGCACCACTGTAACGGCTGTGGAGAGGTGAGTACCGTAATTTCCCCCAAATATAAGCCGCCCTCCCGTTTTCCGATCCGAGTCATATTGGTTATGATCAAGACAAGAGTTTGACTTCCGTTTCTAATTGGAAAATCCAAGGCACTATGTGTTGTGAGCAAATACCTTGCTTGCGTATCGCTGTTGGTCATCTCAGGTTCAACAGTACAGATAAATCACCGAGTCCGTGACCGTAGCACATCACGCCTTCTGCGCTGATAAGTTTCAGCATTGGTCACCATCCATCCATCCAGGACATCCGTCCATCCATCTGTCCATCCATGTATCCATCCATCCATGTATCCATCCATCCATCCATCCGGGCCATCTTTGTGTTATGTAACTGGACTATCATGAGAAGTTCACATTCAGCCGTGCCTCACTGTGTGTGTCTGCAGGTAATGTGCTCCACGTGTCTGAAGCATTCGGCCGTGCACTGTGTGTGTGTGTGTGTGTCTGCAGGTAATGTGCTCCACGTGTCTGAAGCATTCGGCCGTGCTGCCGTTCTACGGCACGGTGAAGAAGCGACGCGTCTGCCGAGATTGCTACCAGAAGTTCCAAGCTTTCCGCAGTGAGTTGGATTACAACTGGCACTGGCTAGTAGAGTGTAACTGAGTTCGAAGTACATTGAAACCAGTAAAGATCACTGCAGCACTAAAGACCGCTTTATCTGGCTCCAAGGGGTGGTTGTGAGTCGTAGGTTTTACTGTACATTGAGGGACCTTCGAAATGTGGTCTCTGTTACCAGGTGGTCTCCTTATCCAGGGTCATTTCACTGGAAATAGCATCCCTTGATCCTGGTTTCAGTGGTCTTCTTGGACAGGTGGTTGCCTTATCCGAGTGGTCGCCTTGACAGGTTTTACGGTGCATGTTCTGTGATTGGCAATGTTGACCTGAGCAGTGAAGCACCACAATGTGATCTTGTGAATGTAGCAAATTCTACTTGCAATTGAATATTTTCCAGATATGGGTGGAAGATTTTACAGCCATTCGTTTAGAATATCGGACAATGGTAACTAGCACGACTAGGCAAGTAGTCAGCATGGAGTGGCTTTGCAGAGCTTACAGTACGGTCCGGGTGCATCATGCGCTCATTTCTAATCTCCACACTCTGTTGTGTTTGCTGTCTTGATCTGTTGCGCGTCCAATAGGGAGTGATAGCAAGGATTTGACGGAGACTCTCGCCTCCGTGTCGACCAGCGCTGCTTGGAAGACAAAGCCAGGCAGCAACTCGTACAGCAGTCCCACACACAGCTACGCCAGTGGCAGTGGTCACGAGGACCTGCGCTCGTTCAGCATCCACGCTCGCCTGTCCAGCGACACAACGGCCAGCCGTGGTTCGCTGGTGTCTGACGAGGGTAGCATGTGGAGCAGCGATACAGCGTCGCGTACGGGTAGCTTCAGGGGCGGTGTGCGTGTCTCCATGCCCAACGGCTTAGATGCCTACCCTGGAGAGTCGCTGACCGAGCTCAGCGAGGTAAGTCTAAATCCTCGATGGTCTTTCATAATACGTAGTACAACTGTGGACTATTAGGTTATGTTGTTTCACACTGGGTGCACCATTCGTATTTCACTACAACTTATCTGTAGACTTGCTTCTGCTGATCTGAGCAGTCAAGCAATGTGTACAACATGCCATCAACGAAGGGTAGTGTTCCAGCGGTTTTATCCGTGTTTTTTTTCAAACGCCCGGAGCTGGTGTTGGTTGCCGCATAGACCCGTGTCGTTAGTGTGCAGTGTCACGTGTAAGATGCAATTTGAACACAGATATTCTGATTATAAGATGGTGAAAATGCGGGTCACTGCTTGTCAGTCTGAAGGACGTTTCGCCGTGAAAGTCACCTACAGTACATTGTATCGGCATTTCTCTCCCGTCTGCCCTGAACAGATACCTGATGAGGTCCAGGCTGGGAATACTTCACCACCACCTCAAGCCGACACTCCTTCTCCTTTAGCAGGCGAAGGCAGTGGTGCTGGTGCTGGTGGTAGTGGTGGTGCACGTGCCAGAGCACAGACAATGGATCCACACCTGGTCAGTGCCAAGAAGAGCATGGGCATGCCGTTCAGAGGTCCGTCCATGTCACCGCTGCGGCGCAACACGTCGCTGCGTTATGACACGGCCAAGCGCATGCGTCAGCGCAACCAAGGTGTCCTGGATGATGAGCGTATGCTGTCATCAGTAGCAGTGAGTGATTGTAGCAGTATAGTGGGATGATGGGATGCCCTTTGTGGTGTGATCTTACTTTTTGGAATCTGTTAACGTTATCATCCAAGTTTGTGACTCTTTCGGGGTTTCTTTGCTTTTTTGTTTGTTTCTGTGAGTGGCCTTCCTACCGTAGTCTATTTCCCCAGTTCTATTGCAATCGTACAGGGGGAAATCCATGTCATAAGTTGGGTGTCTCTGGGATCTCCTAGTCTGTGAAATTCTGATTACTTCACTCTATAGCTGTTCTTCTGCTCTCTGTGTCTGTGTCCGTCTCTCCTTCTGTCTGTCTGTCTGTCTCGGTAAATCCAAAGCTGTGGTCTCCCTCCTTCTGTCTGTCTGTCTGTCTCGGTAAATCCAAAGCTGTGGTCTCAGCAGCACACTGGCTCTCTACCCATGGGCACGCACCACCGTACTAACAATGATACTGTGCTTTCTCGTACAGAACCACATGAGCGGGCATCTGCTGTGCAAGCTACACGAAGTGGAGGGTCACCCGTGGAAGCGCTACTGGGTGGTGTGCACCAGCTTCAGCCTCTTCTTCTACAAGACCCACCACGTAAGAGAAGTGTACATGCAGCTCAGGGCAAGTACAATGTTCACCGTTTATTCGGTGTTTTCTTCACCAGTCTTCTAACCTGATAGTGGAAGCCAGACGTAAGTGGTAGCCAGACAGAAATTGCTCACCAGTCCTATACTTCATTGATAACTGGCTATAACCTCATTGGAGAACCCGTGAACCCTGCAGACAAGCTGTATACAGAACTAGTGGTGCATAGCACTGTAGCATTACACGGCTGGAGTAACTGTTCTTGACCTTAACACGTAGAACTGTGTGTCTCCCGTTTGGTTCCCCCCGTGCAGGAAACCAAACCACTGCACACTATGGCTCTGCCTGACTATGAGTTCAGCGTGGTTGGACCGGTACGTATAACACTCGGTGTATGATCACGGATACTCTGAACTGTATTGATGACTCCATCACTCCTATAATATTATGAGTTGAATATGGCATGATTGCTCACACAGGCGGAAGCAAAGCTGTGCATGCTCATCGCCGTTGTCACTTACCTGGTTTGACCGGCCACTGAGTGACACCAACACTTCTCGCTTCAGGCTTTACCGATGTTGTTCCGAATCACTTAGAAGTCATTACAGTATACTGTATATGAGTTCAACAGGGGAAGACCGGGATCGGCGAGGAGTAATGGCAAACACAACTGGCTGAACTTCAACACCGTTGTAATACATGCATGCCTTTTTCTGATTGTATTTGCCGCTGTGCCTGCTGCCGTAGACTGATGGAGCTCTCTGCGAACTGCCACACAGCTTCAAGCTCAGCAATGGCAGCAGTGCCAGTTGTTTCGTCTCTGACAGCTCGCATGCGCTGGACAGGTAAGCCTAGGCAAGGAAGAGTCCAGTTCTAGACTGGTGTTATACTCTTTAAGGTACCGGTATGTCTTTCATATGGTGTCCTTGCCGCGTCATGTGTCCTGTTTGGCTGCTGCACCATTTTCGGAATGGGATTTATTATCCTAGGCATGTGAAATAGTGGCGTCCGTGCGCATCTGGAAGCTAGGTGTCCCTGCCCCGAACGCATACCCCATCATTATACTGATGTTGCTATTATATCTGTTGCTTCTGCAGGTGGACGGAGGTCATCACGAGCTGTCGTGCCGGGCCCAGCCGAGGGTCGACGTACCACATTATTAACGCATAAACGAACCCCCGCTATCGTCTTTGCCTTTCAAATTTGGAAACCTTTTTTTTTCTTTTTCAAACGTTCACAGGTCTATTGTTAACCGTTTATTTTCCTCTTCCTGGACATAGGGTGAATGGCAATTTTGAGTAATTTAAATTATAAACGATCTTCTAGCTATCACTGCTGAGGTGCATTCTGAATTCAGGCCTTGGCGTACTCCCCGAAGACTCTGCGACACCACGCCAGGGTGGTGCATCCAGAACGCTGCGTTTCAGAGCATTATATTGATCTACATGTATTTCTTAAAGAAAATACACTGTCTTTTTAAAGACAAATAGTGATAGTCAGCAGTCTTAACAGTTCACTAAGACAATACAAAAATAACCCCGAAACGAATGCAAGCAGAGCGCTGAGTAAGGACGGTACATGAGTAGAGCGGACAGGATGACACTGGGGTGTGGCAGTATGGCACAGATTGCATGACACTGGGTTTGGCAGTATGGCACAGATTGCATGACACTGGGTTGTGGTCTTGTGGATTTAGTGTGGCGGCTTTCTGTTAAAAACGGATAAATCGGTAAAAAATAGACCAAACCTAGAGCAGCGGAAGATGAGCCGGGGAGTTACATGAAAAGTAAGCTGAGGCGGTTTCATGAGTGTACCGTTAGTACCTGGCAGGTTTGGCTGTTTAGGGTGCAAGTCAAGGTCAGTGTAGCATGGCATAACTCGGTATGGGCAGCTTGTTTCACCTAGGATTCAAGAGGCCACAAATCAGCGGCTCGGTTAGCACAGCATGCCAGAGAGGAACTGGTGATAGTCACGATGATGTCATACTCAGTACTGTTCATGCTAAGCTAGAGATGCCTGCACAGCACAGTGCCAGCGGCATGGCTTGTCTACATGATGGCATGTGTATGGCTGCGTTGGCGGCGGCATATGATCGGTTTCTTACTGTTTCTGTTTGTGAGCATGACGATAGCAGGCTGTGGTTGATTCTCTCCGGTAGTCTTTCATTTGCTCACTCTCCGCTCTCAGCTGGCCATGTACCACTGAGTCTCGAATGCCTGGTAGACATGCTGCAGATGCTGGAATCGGTTACATTGCTCCGGCAGGTTGAGTGACACGGACTCCAGTGACGTGCATAGTTTGGTCAACCTGTAAGGCATTCAGGAGTGCACGCGCATACACACAGCACCACACAACACACATGAGATAAGAACAACAAGCTATGCCCGTGCAGGTGTGCTATACAAACAGGGCAAGTTGGGTTATCACGAGCTGAGCAAAGCCAGCGTTTCTGGAAGCACTAGCGGCTATACAACAATGAGTATTTGAGGTGTTTCGTTTTGATTTAATAGCACCACAAGCAAATTAAAGTCTATACAAGATGAACACAGTCACAACAGGGTGAATTGCTTCTGATTTGCCCTCCCAACAGTCATCTGCAATGTCCACAAGACTCGCAGCTATCATCACATCATCACAGTTCTCATCAAAACCCAGTTGCACGCGAATCGTGATACTGTAGTGCTTACTGATGCGAGAAACGACGCAACACGTCGACCGTCACCCCCTTGGTGGTCCAGCGAAAACCCAGTGTCAAGAGACCACCGTCGGTTTTCAAT